AATATCATGTAAAGGCTGGTATTTTTCATGAAATCCAGGGGCTTGAAAACAATGAAAACTAGACACCACTTAGTGTGAAGTGAAAGTCCTATATTGCTTCAGTGTAATTGAAAGAGCTGTCACTATATTTACAGTGAAGTTTTGGTTTGCTTGATTGTGAACGTCCACCTTGGTAATTTTAGGAATGCAACATTTACCACCTGCCAGATCATGGATGGTAAGTGTCTCATTTCAAGTAGATTTCCCTCCTTCTCTGAGTAGGGGAAAGGAAGAGATGTTACCACTACCAGCAGGTGTCATTAGAACAGGTTTTGGAACAAACTGAAAAATCAAACAGTAATAAGTGACCAGAACCAAATGGTATTCACCCAAGAGTTTTGCAGGAACTCAAGTGTGAAAGTGCAGAACTACTAACTGTAATCTGTAAATATCATTTAAATCAGCTTCTGTACCAAATGACTGGAGTATAACTAATGTGACATCAATTTTTAAAAACGGTTCCAGATGTGATCCTGGCAATTAGAGGCTGGTAACCCTGACTTCAGTATTGGGAAAACTGATTGAAATTATAGCAAAGAACAAAATTATTAGACACATAAATGAATATAATTTGTTGGGGAAGAGTCAACAGTGTGATGCTGTTGCAAAAAAAGCAAATATGATTCTAGGTTGTATCAACAGGTGTGTTGTAAGTAAAACTCGTGAAGTCATTCTGCCGCTCTACTCTTCACTAGTTAGGCCTCAGCTGGAGTACTGTGTCCAGTTCTGGGCGCCACATTTCAAGAAAGATGTGGAGAAATTGGAAAGGGTACAGAGAAGAGCGACAAGAATGATTAAAGGTCTAGAGAACATGACCTATGAAGCCAGGCTTCATGAACTGGGCTTGTTTAGTTTGGAAAAAAGAAGATTAAGGGGGGACATGATAGCGGTTTTCAAATATCTAAAAGGGTGTCACAAGGAGGAAGGAGAAAATTTGTTCCTCTTGGTTTCTGAGGACAGGATAAGGAGTAATGGGCTTAAAGTGCAGCAGGGGAGGTTTAGATTGGACATTAGGAAAAAATTCCTAACTGTCAGGGTGGTCAAATAGTGGAATAAATTGCCAAGGGAGGTGGTGGAATCTCCCTCTCTGGAGATATTTAAGAACAGGTTAGATAGACATCTGTCAGGGATGGTGTAGACGGAGCGTGGTCCTGCCTTGAGGGCGGGGGGCTGGACTCGATGACCTCTCGAGGTCCCTTCCAGTCCTATTATTCTATGATTCTATGATTCTATGAACATGGTTTTTGTAAAAGGAAATTAGGCCTCACCAATCTACTGGAATTCTTTGAGAGGGCCCATAGGCATGTGAACAAGGGAGATCCAGTGGATCTCCTTAGATTTTCAGAAAACCATTACATTGCTCTTAAGCAAAGTAAGTTGTCATGGGATAAGAGGGAAGGTAACTGGTTAAAAGATAGGAAATAAAGGGTAGGTTTCAGAATGGAGAGAGGTAAATAACGGCGTCCCCAGAGGTCTGAACTGGGACCATTTCTATTCAGCATATTCCTAAATCATCTGGAAAAAGGAGTAAACAGTGATGTGCCAAAAATTGCAGATGATACAAAACTATTTAAGATAGTTAAGTCCGAGGCAGAGGCAAATAGCTACAAAAGGATTTCTCAAAACTGGGTGATTGGGCAACAAAATGGCAAGTGAAATTTAATGTTGATAAATGCAAAGTAATGTACACTGGAAAACACAATCCTAACTATAATATAAAATGATGGGGTCTAAATTAGCTATTACTCCTCAAGAAAGAGATCTTAGAGTCATTGTGGATAGTTCTTTGAAAACATTCAATGTGCCATGGCTGTGAAATATGTGAACAGAATGTTGGGAATCATTAAGAAAGGAATAGATAATAAGACAGAAATTATGATATTGCTTCTATATAAATCCATGGTACACCACATCTTGAGTACTATACGCAGTTGTGGTCACCCCATCTCAAAAAAGATATATTGAAATTGGAAATGATTCAGAAAAAGGAAACATAAATTATCAGGGCTGCAGAACAACTTTATATGAGGCGAGATTAATAAGATGAACTTTTCAATTTGGAAAAGAGATGGGGATATGTTTGAGGTCTATAAAACCTTGACTGACATGGAAAAAGTAAATAAGGAAGTGCTATTTATTCCTTCTCTTAACACAATAACTAGATGTCACCAAATGAAATTAATAAGCAGCAGGTTTAAAACAAACAAAAGGAAGTATTTCCTTATACAATGCATAGTCAACCTGTGGAACTCTTTGCCAGAGGATGTTGTGAAGATCAAGCCTAGCACTACTCAACATTGGAGGGCTACTCAACCCCCTCCTGGGGGGTCATAATGATACAGAACATGCCAAGAGCTGCAAATGAAGTGTGGTTGCATATACATGCAAATAAATATGCAAATATATGCAAATAGCTTCTTTCACACTGATGGGCATGAATACAAAGATTAAGGTAAGACTAAACAACACAGGCCCCATTTAAGTCAGTTCTGATATTAGTAAAATGCAATATTTACCCCATTTCCACCCATATGACAGCACTTTTAATGAGCAATGACAGTCCAGAAATTAACTACTAAAACGCATATCAACAGAAGGCCATTATATTGACTACAAAGTCTTCACCACATCCTCTGGCAAGGAGTTCCACAGGTTGACTGTGTGCTGTGGGTTCAGCCGTGGAAGGCAAGTGAGAAGTTCTGGGGCCGGCACGAGAACCAGGACTAATTAATGCCAGGGGGAAAGCTGTAAGAGAGAAAGAGGGTTTTTAACTCAAACTAACTGGCTGCCAGATAGAATTCAAAGGCTGGGCTGGGGCACCCCAGGACACAGGAGAATTGGTGGAGCACAAATCCATGACCTGAACTTGGGGTGTCAGAAATGAGTCCTCATCAGTGCACAAAACATGGAGGGGAGGGGCTGTCCCACCTTCTAACCCTTTTGGGGGGTATTTAGAGCCTTTGGTATATTTCTTGGAGTGATTTTACTCAGAAAAAGTTTCCAAGCCAGAGTGCTTCTACCTGCAGACACAAGAGTTCAGGGTGGCTGCCTCAATTGATTTTTGGAAGGGACCCACAGAGCCCAGGGCAGCCTGAGGGATTACCAGGGGACATGGCTTCACTCTGTAGTAACAGTGCAGCTGAGTGCAGCAGCCTGGGAGAGGGCTGGGAGGCACAAAGGAGCAGGCTCCTGCCACCTCATGGTTCTCCCCAGGTTATTCATGGCTTTCCCTGAATAAAATGGATACCGGGTCCTTGGCTCAGCCCAGCCTGGCCTGACACCGCTCTCCTCTCCCCCTCCTAACACTAGGCATGGAGGAACCCAGCCTCCAGGACCTCAACCTTTCCCGAGTCCCAGCACAGACCTTTCTTGCCCCGGCCTTGCTGCCTGGCTCCGCCACCTCCGCCTCTCCTCGTCCCTCACTGCCCAGGTCTGCCGTCACCTCACCACATGCCTTACTGCTTGGCTCCCCTGCTGCCTCTTGCCAACTACCCCCCTCCCACCTCCTCCAGCTGGCAGCTCTTGCGCATGCTCCAACTAATGGCCTGACTCAGGGCCGTGCCCCATGGCAAGAGCAGCATGGCTCCACTCGTGGGGAGGTGCTGCCACTGGAGGAATGCTCTGCCACTGCCTCTTGCCACCCCCCGCCCTGCCAACCGGCAGCTCCTGTGCATGCACCGATGTGCATGCAGCCTGGCTCAGTGCGGCGCCGTGCGGCTCTGCTTGAGGGGAGGTGCTGCCACTGGAGGCTACGGGGACGCAGCAGGCAGGTGGCCCAAGAAGTGACTGAAGGCTCCGTGGGCCGCATGCAAATGGGCCGCAGGCCGCATGAGACCCATGGGCCATGTGTTGAGCAGCCCTGGTCAAGACTATAACAGGGTTTTAAAAAGAACTACATAAATTCATGGAGGATAGGTGCAGCAATGGCTATTAGCCAGGACTGTGATTAAAGATTATTTTCTGATTACACTGTCAGTTATTTGACTGTCTTTATTACAGGTGATGCTACCTGTCTCCCTAGGCTACTTATATATTTTGATCTTCCAATTTTTACAGGCAATGTAACTTTGTCATCTGGAATCACTACAACTCTAGGTAGGTCGTCAAATCATTAATTAATGTGATACAGCAAAGTCAGAGAGCAGCAGAAGAGTAGTAGATGGGAGGTATATAAGACCTAGGATGATCAAGATCTTATTCCCTGTGGACTTGGGAAAAGATTACTACAGGGTAATTGGAATACCTGGAGCCAATTAAGACCCCACCCATGACCTAAGAAACCTCCCTTGCTTCAGTCAGATAGGGAGAGTAAAAGGAGAATTAACAAGTATTAGGAGAGATACTATTATTAACCAGAAGACCAGAGTACCAGGGAAAAGAAAACCCTGCCCAATCAGAGTAGAGGGACTCCCCTGGCATGGAGGACTGAGGGAAAACCCTACTCAGGGAGAAATAGGATACACAGCCTGGAAAGGTGAAGGGGCTGGGACCTGGAGTAGTGGGTGAACCTGGGTTCCTTCCCCACTCCTCTCTCTCTCCCTCCCATAAGGGCACTAGTAGAGCCCATAATGCCCAAGGAGAGGGGAAAGGGATGGTGCCCTTGCAAAGAAAAGCATTGGCCCTTTGCCACATGAGTCAACAGCTTTTATCACTGTGGGAGCATAATCAAAATGAGAAAACAAATTACATATATTAAGGCCCAAGCTGTGAACTTAGATGTGAACATAGTTAATAGGCAGTAAGAATTCATATTGCTCAACCTGGAATTTCCACTATGCTGGTTTATTACCAGTGCACACTTGCTGCCCTTAGATTTCTTTTTTTCAAAAGCAGAAAAACTTTAGTGATTGCTTATTGTGAGAATGTATGTGTTACCTCCAGTGCTAGAGTGTACAAATTGTTCTTTTCATCTGCCTTAAGCTTGTAGATACATGTTCTGGTAATAGATTCCGTCTATGTTTACTGTACAGTTTCAGGTCTGTTATCCGATATGTATAAATACATGTCTATGAACAGGTCACATTTCCACTCACAAAAACATCTCATAACAAACTATAGGCACAGTACAGAATCAACACTCACCCCCTTCCTTGTGTTTGGCTTTATTAACGTGGCAACATAAAACAAACAACCTAATCTCTAGCCCAGTCCTTTTTCCCAGGCTTGGTTGTCTGTAGGGATCTTGTCTTGTGACATATCAGCACCACTGCCTAGAGGACCAATCTCTTCTCTTCAGAGCTATTGTGGAGTTACATATCAACAAGTCAAAGTGAGTCAACAGGGTTCAGTCAGCAACTCCCTTTGGGGTTTCAACACCTCCTCTTAGGGTGGGTCCACAGGAGAACCCAGCAACTCCATAACAGTGCGTATTGTGTGCATGTATGTGTGTGTGTGTTAGAACGTGATGTTTCTAGTCCATTTTTCTGTTGGCAAACTATTTTAGAAAAAAGTCTGATTTTCAGGAAATAATGTTTAGTCATTTACTGAAAACTTGCTTTCCCATCTTTCTAATTCTTCCTACTGGTGAACAGCCTTTAAGAGGAGCTAAATTAAACATTCAAACTATAAGTATTTCTGATGACAAAGAATCCAAACCTGCAAATACCGTATTCCCATGGACTTACTTACAAGTGTACATACTATGGGTCTGGCTTAAATTGTAATGTGAAGTATTGTGGCTTCAGTCTATATGCTGAATGCCAAGCCCTTTCACATTTTTTACTCTAGGTATGTTTCTTTCCATAAGTTTTTTACTAGTACTTAAAAAAATTCCACTTGGTTGTATTATACTTTACCATAACATATTTTTATAATAAATTTTGATTATATTTTAGTTAAGGAGTCAGCTGCATCCCAACTCAGAGTTGTAGAACAGTATAACAGGAAAAGACAGGATCTCAATTTTCTGGTAACAGGTCACAATATATGCAATACATATATGCAAAAAAAAAAAAAAAAAAAAGCTTAGAAAATATAGCATGGATCTTTGAATTTTTTGTGTTTTTGTCTGATTTCTAGCATTCCCTGCATGATTTATATATAGCATAGAACTTCATGGTGCAGTGAATAAAGCCTCTTTTACTGCACAATATATATTAGGATGAAATCTGTCTTCTGAAAACTATTTTCTGTTTCTGTATTCCAAAGGAGCATTATTATCCCATGACACTATGAGCATCACTCTTGCAACGACATAAAATGTACATCTACCCATTTTACACACAAAAAGCATTTGTTTTCTTAACATTGATAGTAATGTCATGCGTAAACACCCCATTTTCTTGTGAAATAGCCCCTTTGGCATATATAAATACTTTTTTATGCATGTAAATGTGAGATTTACATATACAGTGACTGAAATACATTATAACTCTTTGTCACGTGTGTGTAAGTGAGAGGCTTTGGCATTAAAAATGTGCCCCGCAATATGACATTGGTTTTTTTTATAACATAAGTAATAAACCATTTTTTGTCATTCTTAACTTATTGGTTGTACAGTTCTCAATCAGGTGGAGAACTGGAAGCAATATTTTTTTTTGCAGGCTGATCCTGGCTCTTTATGCAGTTATAATAAGGCGTTTAGTATTACACTAATTCAACATACTCATTTGCTCTTAGTGGGATTGTTTTGAAATCCAATTTTGGTTATGGAAATGAAATTTTGGTTACATGAACAATGGTCAGTGGTTAAGTTACTGCTTTTTTTGCTAGGCTACCTCAAATTAATTAGTAATTGCAATGGCATGTTTGTACACCGATATTTCAGTGATTATACATGTCAGAAATACTTACAGTAGATGGATCTGGTAGCTATTTATAGTTCAATAGGGTTAACAATTTCTCTTCTAGAAGTTTCTAACTCATTTAAAAATTCAGTTGTAGGCTGCATCTTACATGGCCATGGGATAAGAGGGAAGGTCCTTTCTTGGATTGAGAACTGGTTAAAAGACAGAAAACAAAAGGTAGGAATAAATGGTAAATTTTCAGATTGGAGAGGGGTAACTAGTGGTGTACCCCAAGGGTCAGTCCTGGGACCAATCCTTTTCAACTTATTCATAAATGATCTGGAGAAAGGGGTAAGCAGTGAGATAGTAAAGTTTGCAGATGATACCAAACTGTTTAGGATAGTCAAGACAGAAGCAGACTGTGAGGGACTCCAAGAAGATCTCACCAAACTGAGTGATTGGGCAACAAAATGGCAAATGAAATTTAATGTGGATAAGTGTAAAGTAATGCACATCGGGAAAAATAACCCCAACTATACGTACGGTATGATGGGGGCTAATTTGGCTACGACAAATCAGGAAAGAGATCTTGGAGTTATCGTGGACAGTTCTCTGAAAACTTCCACACAGAGTGCAGCGGCAGTCAAAAAGGCAAATAGGATGCTAGGAATTATTAGGAAAGGGATAGAAAATAAGACCCAGAATATCTTACTGCCCCTGTATAAAACTATGGTACGCCCACATCTTGAATACTGTGTACAGATGTGGTCTCCTCACCTCAAAAAAGATATTTTGGCCTTGGAAAGGGTTCAGAAAAGGGCAACTAAAATGATTAGGGGTTTGGAACGGGTCCCGTATGAGGAGAGGCTAAAGAGACTGGGACTTTTCAGTTTAGAAAAGAGGAGACTGAGGGGGGATATGATAGAGGTCTATAAAATCATGAGTGGTGTGGAGAGGACTGATAAAGAAAAGTTATTTATTAGTTCCCATAATAGAAGAACTAGAGGACACAAAATGAAATTAATGGGTAGCAGGTTTAAAACTAATAAAAGGAAGTTTTTCTTCACACAGTGTGTTGTCAACCTGTGGAACTCCTTGCCAGAGGAGGCTGTGAAGGCTAGGACTATAATAGAGTTTAAAGAGAAGCTGGATAAATTCATGGAGGTTAGGTCCATAAAAGGCTATTAGCCAGGGGATAAAATGGTGTCCTTGGCCTCTGTTTGTCAGAGGCTGGAGAGGGATGGCAGGAGACAAATCGCTTGATCATTGTCTTCGGTCCACCCTCTCTGGGGCACCTGGTGCTGGCCACTGTCGGTAGACAGGATACTGGGCTAGATGGACCTTTGGTCTGACCCAGTACGGCCGTTCTTATGTTCTTATGTTCTTATATTACATCTCAGCCTAGAGGCTTTTTTCCCTAAGTTATAGAAATGTCAATACATTTAAAAGGTTAGTTTGACACTCCATGCTTGTGAATGACTCCATCACCATAATTTAAAAAGAAATCTAATTTGGGAAGCATTTAGTTTGTGAGAGCTGACATATGACATGACATACCTTTGTGATTTCCCCCCCTTTTTCAATGAACAAATGAAAAAATACTGAATCCATTTGGGTTGCAGTGGGAAACGGAGGGAATCCAGCTGTGTAGCAATTTTAGCATGACTTCTAACACTTCACAAAATTAGCTTGACCTAGAAGATTTCTGTACAGTTTTTATATACTGTACTAGCAGACTTGAGGAATAGCTGATGGGGACTGTAATTCTGTAAAATGGAGTACAAGTATTTGAGAAGGATGGAAAAATGGGATAGATTGGGACTTCCACTGGTGACATGTGCGTCACCATGACAGCATCTCAAAAATTCAGTGACTGAGCAAATATACTGTCTAAGATGCTGTATTTGAGATAATCTCATGGAAACCTTTTCTCTCAAATTAATGTGGACCACTTCCCTCGCTATGCACCAAAGTAAAAAGTAATATTAGGAAAGTGTATTTGTTAACTGCCATGCTTTTTTCTTTTGGAAAATGTAATCACATGATCTCTTTTTTCTTTTTATTTATTTAATCTTTTCCTTTCCTATTCTTCTTATACAATAATCTGAAGGCCACAATTTTAGATGTATGTCAGTGGATGTCACGAGGCATACCGGAGTGGTTGACAAAGGCATCCTTTGTCGACCGCGCCACATCTAGACTGCCGCGCTGTGCCGGATCAGCTGATTGTCGGCACAGCACAGCGGCCATTTTTATTTTAATGAAGCGGGGATTATTAAAATCCCCGCTTCATTGACTATGCTGAATAAACTACTTTACATGGCTCTGTCGACGGAGCCATGTAGTCTAAACGCACCCTTTATGATGAAATGTGTTGTACATCATGTAATTAAGGTTCACACTTATTGGGAGGGCTGTTGAATGCATGCTCATTCTTCTTTTGTCTGTCTCTCTCATTGCTGGACTTTTCAGAGTTGATTTTCAGTGTTATATTTCATCCTATGATTTTTTATAAAGATTAACTTTCAGATTTTAAGAGCTAATACAGTTGTGGGTTTGTGTACATTTGTATATGTCACCCTAGTGTGACAAAGTCAAGTGGGAAAAGGCAGCCCTAGAAGGGTAAAAGGCCTACTCCCCTATTAACTAGAAGTGAGTTATTGCACATCAATCAGGATCACCTAAAAAGGGATTGTCTCAGGCAGAGTAGGATCAGATGAGACCGGGATACCTTGGAGCAGCTAGGAGCAGCTGATTCCATTTCAGAGATGCTTGAGAACTTTTTAAGAGAAGGAAGAGGAACACACACACACACACACACACAAGTTAGAGACAGCAGGGGAGTGAGCAGCTTCATGAGGAGAGGCTGCTACTCTAGGGGAAGATGACAAGCCTAAATCTCTGCTACGGGGAAGGCTGACTGCCCAGACATGGCAGATAGCAGGTTCTTTACCTGAAGCCTATCTCACAAAGGGGCAGAAGTGCAGAGACTGAGATGGGAAAGAAGGATCTTTGCCACATGTGGTGTCAGGGTGAGATACTGCTGTGAGGTTTCTTGGCTAACCATCCCAGGGCAGATTAAATCACCCACCTCTTAAAGAAGGGAAAAAATGGAAGAGGTAGTAAAGGCACTGGTACAGGCTACCATGGCACAACAAGGGAGTCGGTATGGCTACAACAAGAAACAAACCAACTACTGATAAGCCAGGCAGCCCAAGATTGAACCACCCTGCAGTAGGTGATGAACCAGCGGAAGACCCTGTCTGCTCAGATGCACGGCCAACACGGGACATGGCCCCTATGGACTATTAGTTATTTACAAAAGATGACAATGAAGGATGATGTAGAATTGTATCTTCTTGCCTTCGAAAGGACAGCCCTTCAGGAGGCCTGGCCCCAAGCTCAGTGGGTCAGCATTCTTGTTCCTTTCCTGTGTGGGAAGGCCCAGAAGGCCTATATTGACATGCCAGAGGAAACAACTACCCATTACTATTGCCTGGTGAGACAGGAGTGACAGCAGCTGTAAAGGGCCAGAGAAGGTTTCATGAATGGAAATACCAGCACAGAAAAACACCAAGGTCTGAAGTGTTTGACCTGATCCATCTGGCCTGGAAGTGGCCAAAGCCCAAGACCAACA